ATATATATATATATATATATATATATATATATATATATATATATATATATATATATATATATATATATATATACATACATATATATATATATATATATATATATATATATATATATATATATATATATAAATATATATGCATATATATATATACATACATACATACATATATATATATATATATAGATATATATATATATATATATATATATATATATATATATATATATATATATATATATATATATATATATATATATATATATATATATATATATATATATATATATATATATATATATATATATATATATATATATATATATATATATATATATATATATATATATATATATATATATATATATATGCATGTATATATATACATACATATATATATATATACATATATATATATATATATATATATATATATATATATATATATATATATATATATATATATATATATATAAATATATATATATGAACATAGTGGCATTCAGTTAGAATGCGTTTATTCATAAGTATAGCAGATATAAGCTATAAGGTTGGATTCCTTTTAACCTTCTGTGGTGTAGTGGTAGCGCCTTGACTTGGTAATCATAAGTCCTAGGTTCGAGTCCCGGTCGGGGTAAAAAATGATTCATGTTTTCACATATGTAATGTGCTTAATTGGTTATTTCATAGCCCGAATGAGATTGGAATCGAATTAAATGCTAAAATGAAGCCACGAGTGAGGTTGGGGAATGTGTAATATGAACATAGTGGCATTCAGTTAGAATTCGTTCATTCCTAAGTATAGCAGATATAAGCTATAAGGTTGGATTCCTTTTAACCTTCTGTGGTGTAGTGGTAGCGCCTTGACTTAGCAATCATAAGTTCTAGGTTCGACACCCGGTCGGGATAAAAAATTATTCATATATATATATTTTATATATATATATATATATATATATATATATATATATATATATATATATATATATATATATGTATATATATATATATATATATATATATATATATATATATATATATATACATATATGTATATACATATATATATATATATATATATATATATATATATATATATATATATATATATATATATATATATATATATATATATATATATATATATATATATATATACATATATATATATATATATATATATATATATATATATATATATATATATATATATATATGTATGTATATATATATATATATATATATATATATATATATATATATATATATATATATATATATATATATATATATATATATATATATATATATATATATATATATATATATATATATATATATATATATATATATATATATATATATATATATATATATATATATATATATATATATATATATATATATATATATATATATATATATATATATATATATATATATATATATATATATATATATATATATATATATATATATATATATATATATATATATATATATATATATATATATATATATATATATATATATATATATATATATATATATATATATATATATATATATATATATATATATATATATATATATATATATATATATATATATATATATATATATATATATATATATATATATATATATATATATATATATATATATATATATATATATATATATATATATATATATATATATATATATATATATATATATATATATATATATATATATATATATATATATATATATATATATATATATATATATATATATATATATATATATATATATATATATATATATATATATATATATATATATATATATATATATATATATATATATATATATATATATATATATATATATATATATATATATATATATATATATATATATATATATATATATATATATATATATATATATATATATATATATATATATATATATATATATATATATATATATATATATATATATATATATATATATATATATATATATATATATATATATATATATATATATATATATATATATATATATATATATATATATATATATATATATATATATATATATATATATATATATATATATATATATATATATATATATATATATATATATATATATATATATATATATATATATATATATATATATATATATATATATATATATATATATATATATATATATATATATATATATATATATATATATATATATATATATATATATATATATATATATATATATATATATATATATATATATATATATATATATATATATATATATATATATATATATATATATATATATATATATATATATATATATATATATATATATATATATATATATATATATATATATATATATATATATATATATATATATATATATATATATATATATATATATATATATATATATATATATATATATATATATATATATATATATATATATATATATATATATA